GTATATCAAAATTAATTTCGAGTCTATTGCAGATAAGTTATACTGCGAAGTAATGTCTCCTCTAATCTAAAAATGAGAAATGCACGCGTTAAGTACTATTCTATACAGGCAGTCCTTCGTACTCTATGGAATGTTTAGTTCTCAAAATTGTAAATCGAAATGACGGAAGTCGATACATTTTTTATTCATCCATTTCTATACAGTGTGTTTGTAAATAAGTGCGAAATATTTTAGGGGGCGGTTGCCGAAGTTATTTTGTGAAAAAAAGCTCATATAAACATAAGTCGTTCTTTTCCGAGATACAGAGTGTTTAAATTTTAATTTTTTATTTATTTTTATTAATTATTTCAGTTTTTGAAATAATTTGAAAACCGCTTTGGAGGGATAAATGTGCATTTTTTGGGATGGTCCAAATATTTCTACTTGCACCAGTGCAAGATTGGCACAACCATTTTTAATTAAAAAATGGTATGCCACTGACTTTTTCCCATTTTGATATTTTTTTAGAAATTCGCCATCAATTCTGAATGAAATAGGTCTCTTCAGTTTTTTCTAGGATGCACCGTTTTTGAGAAAAAAAAAACATATTTTACTGTAAATTTTGTTAATCTTTTATTTAAAGGTTTCTCTTAATAAAGCGTTATTATGATCAAAGTAAAAATGCAATTCAACATTGAAAATAAAAAGTTGATATGAATGTGGCTAAAAAATTTTTCGATTTCAAGATACAGGATGTTCAAATTTTAATTTTTTTTCTCTTGAATATTTAAAAAAATTTTATTATCTAATATAGTAACATTAAACCACAACAATAACATAAAAAACAGTAATAAAAATGTATTTTAATAGTCGCAAACCTACAACAGGTGTTGAAAATGACCTCTCTCACAAATGAAACAAGAGTCAACTTGCATCAACTGTCGTATTCACTGAAATATTCCTACTGTATTTCTTATTGTCTCACAGCCGACTGTAATTCGATTCCTAAGGTCTTCAACATTAGTCAATATCTTCAAAACTCTTTGAAATAATTAATAAAAATAAATAAAAAATTAAAAATTAAACACTCTGTATCTCGGAAACGAAACATATTTCGACCTACATTTATACGAACTTTATTTCACAAAATAACTTTGGGAACCACCCCCTAAAATATTTCGCACTTATTTACAAACACAGGGTGTAAAGCGAAGGATTTAGGTCCTTTATTTATAAAACAAACCATCTATTTGGTATATATTTATTTCACAATTGAAAAAATAGAAAAAACCATATTAAACCCTAAATCATTGGTTTAAACAAATGTATCAATTTGAGGTTTTTTCATACATTTCTCGATAACACTGACACGAAGTAATAATTTTGTTATTAACATTAAAACTTGTTTCAAAATTTAGATCATGTTCCTTAAAAATATTGTGAAATAGCCCATGATGTATCTTGGAACCATTGACATTAGATTGATGACGTGTTAAAATATTGTTCGACGCAACTCGAAATGACTTAAGTCTAAACGACGTAACTCCAAAACTACCTGTATTGTTACAATAACCATCTCTTTTGATTAAAAACAGTCCTCACGATATTCAACATCAAGATATCAAATTTTTCTGCCATCTATTTCAATTTTTATCTAAAGAGACATTAATTTTATTGCCTCATTGACAGCAGAGTCTATGACAGTGAGCTAGTCTAAATACAATTGTGGCGCCAAAAAAGTTATACTGATCACAAAACGTGTTCTTGAAGACGTCTACGTTTGAGTGCCCAAAATAATGATAATTATTTTCTAGACGTAAATGAATGCGAGACTATTCCCGACCTCTGCCAGAATGGTCAGTGTATCAACACCTTGGGATCGTACAGATGTATTTGTAACAAGGGGTACAAGCTGGACAATTCCGGTTTGTACTGTTTAGGTACGTTTTGACACGACCGTCATGCGATATCATGCTCGATTTCATAATAATTTTTAGACATCAACGAATGTCTACACAACGTCTCCCACTGCCAGTACAACTGCCAGAACACCGAGGGCAGTTTCATCTGTTCGTGTCCTTACGGGTTCCTCCTCAATCCGGACGGTTTGACTTGCCGTGACTTGGACGAGTGTGCCACGGGACAGCACATCTGCCAGCAGAAGTGTATCAATACCGAGGGAAGCTACAAGTGCGGATGCGAGGAGGGATATAGTCAGATCGGGGATCGATGCCAAGGTGAGGACACGTTTATACCGGAATTGACAATTGATCAAAAACATTTGAGAGTTCTAGGTTTTGTGTTATAATTTTTTTTTAGATATAAATGAGTGTGATGAAGTGGGCATCTGTCCAAAGCCGGGTAGGTGCGTAAACACACTCGGCAGCTTTAGGTGCATCTGCCCGAGAGGCTTCAAACTGTCGACGTCGGGAACTTATTGTTTGGATTCTGACGAGTGCGAGGACGACTCCAAGTGTACGGAAGGCTGTCAAAACTTAGTNACAGAGCTTAGCCCGAGAACAACAAGGACAGGTGAAAGATTCCTAGTTAAAGCTAAGGAAGTAAAAAGTAAATCTGTTATTGGCGCATAACAAACCTTAACCATTGTACTAAACTAACGCAAAAAATTAAAGGGTCAAAAAAATTTCTGAAATTTTTACGTGATTTTTGACAGATTCTATTTAGGTGAAAAATGGTCATATCAGGAATTAAAAAAAGCATTTTGAAGCTCTAAGATTCTAGTTTTTATATCTTTTGGCCGAAATTTTTTAGGAGCGACGGTTATTATGCAATTCTAAGAAATAGCATGACAAAAAATGTTTAATAACCTAAAACAATTTTTTTTTCCATTTTTAATCATGATTATGAAGTGTTTAAGCCCAAAAACACTACCCTTTAATTTTTTTCAAAAGTTTGACAGTTTGAAACAAAGAAACGGTTTGCTAGATCGCGATCAAACTTCACAGGGTTCTTCTGGATATATCGAACTGTAAAAGTCATGCTTAATATTAGTCATTTCGTGAATATTTCTAATTTAGCCGTCAATTTTCTAAAAACCATAAATTACTCTTTTTTCCTGTTTTTTAAAATTCGTGTAAAAGATGAAAAAAAAAATGTTCCGAAAAGTTGCGGCAGCATGTTATAAGAAATTATTCCAATTTTTGAAACTGCCCTTCAATT